AATTGCCAGGAAGACCAGGGGTACCCATATGACTCAGCAGTGACGAGACTCCTGGGTCGAGGTCTCATCGGGACGACGGCTACGGCCGTTGGTCCAGTGGAAAGTCCGGGTTACCTTTAGTCGAAAATGAGTCTAGACTATGGAAACCAGATTTGCAAAGTGCAAAAGTCGGATTCCGTCGGCCAGAATTGCCAGGAAAACCAGGGGTAGCCATATGAGTCAGCAGTGATTGTACTCCTGGGCCGAGGTCTCGTCGGGACGACGGCTACGGCTGGTGGTCCATTGGAAAGTCCGGGTTACCATTAGTCGAAAATGAACTTAGACTATGAAAACCAGATTTACAAACTGCAAAAGTCGGATTCGGTACGCCAGAATTGCCAGGAAGACCGGGGGTAGCCATATGACGTAGGAGTGACGATACTCCTGGGCCGAGGTCTGATCGGGACGACGGATACGACCGGCGGTGCAGTGGAAAGTCTGGATTACCTTTAGTCGAAAATGTGTCTAGGCTATGGAAACCAGATTTCCAAATTGCTTTCCTGATTATCTTTTACTGTCGCAGTAATCTTCATCCTCATTTCTATGTTTTACCGCGTTGGCATGCAAAACAATCTTAGTCGATATGGCAGGGCGTGACACGAAAATGGTAATGAGTGTTCGTTCCAGTAAAGTTTATGTGTATCTATCAATGCGCGAAAATTTGTGTGATTTTGTAGGGAATTAAAGATAAGGCGACTCACGATGAACTAATATTTTAATTTCGGTATTCTTATTGCTATATCCTGTTTTGTTTTCCTTATCGGCGATATTCGGCGACTTTCGTTCCTAATTGCTAGAGGTCCCTACTTTCCTTACTTTTGGATATATAACTGTTGGAAGAATGTAATGAATTTTATGCGGTTTTACAGCTACGGAATAGAATGTTTATCATTTACTTAACCTTCTTTAAAATTTTAATGTAACAAAAATGGAGTTTAATATTCACCGAAATTAATATTTTATTGCAACGTATTTAACCTTCATTTAAGTTTTATTTTGGTATGACCTGAATTTAATATTCGCTAATATGTATATTCTATTACCTTTTGTTTAACTCGAAGGAATAATAAAAGATAAAAATATGCAAATCTGAGACTTTTCGTATTTGATCGAGTAAAGGAAAGTGCGTATTTACTTATTTCGTAATAATTTATTTGGCTTTTATTTATTTTATTCATTTTAATTTTTATTCTATGAACATTAGACCGTTATTTTGTTTTTGATCGACATTTTCGGAATAGTAGAATAACAGAATGAAAAGAGATCAATTTTATAATGTGTAATTATATTACGTATGCACAATAATTTTTCATCTTTATTTTGTTTTCTTTTCATACTAGTATATATACATTATTTAAATGTATATTACGACTTATATTATATTATTACGTTCTTACGTTCTTATCGTCGATAGAGTAGTACCCTATCGAGGATAATGCTTGGCCGCATAATTGGGCTGCGAAATTGTATAATCCATGTTAAGATATACTGGATAGTTAGTCTTCAGCTTATTTCACTCATTTCTCCTGTTATTTGCATTATGTTAACCTGGATCGGTTAAGTAAAGTATTTAGAATTGAGAGTATCTTATGAAATTCCTTTATGTTTTTTTATGATACTTACCACCAGTCAGTTAGACACTTGAAGAAATCGTAGAAAATTTCGTTATTCACGAATCGAACATTAAGAAATAACGGAGAAGATTCACATAAATAAATAATACGCTAATAAAATTATAACGTTGATGAAACTAACATTAAACTCATTTGAATAATGTATTTAAAATAAGTGTTCTATTGAAATGATATAATAAATACGTGATACCGGATATGGGATTTATAATAACTGAGAGTCTCAAGGACCACACAGATTCACAGATTTGTACAATATCACATTAGTTCATTTTATTGTTGCTGTTTCTGCATATGTCCAAATATGCGTCAATGTCTAGGTACATTGTTTACGTCTAGTTAACGCGCAGTGTATCATCTACTCGATCAAAGCATTATATAAAATGAAAATGGTTGCTAATTATAATAATGATGTCTACTCTATACTGCACCTAAGCTTTGTGTCCTTTACATCGCTACGGCTCGATATGTCATTATCGAGCTACATGTGTTTTATTATGCCAAAAATTGACTGCATGAATTACGAATAATAAGATAATTCTATAAAATCGGCGGAAAATATTACAAAAGTATGGAATTCTTATTGGCGACAAATAATTAGAAAGTGTAAAACTAACGGTACATTCTTGTAGAAATGCAACTTCGATTTCATTGATGTTCTTTCGGATTTATTAATTGATTTTACATTCTCCATGTACTTACTTGTCCGCATGAAATTGCACTAGTTCGGCTTACATCATTCGCAGCTTATCGTTTTACAAAATTATTCTAGCTGAAACGTTTCTCCGGCGTCAGAAAACGTCTGCGCGAAACTTCATGGCATTAATTGCCACAAAATTCGTTACGAGAAATCAGCATACTAACGTGAGTACGCAATGTACTAGATGCAATGTTGCAAGATACAGCAGTGCGATAGTAACAATTTTACAACGTCCTTATCGTTTACCATAAACGTGTCAATGATTTAGTTTATCATACAACAGATATGCACACATTTCATTACAATACTGCTTTCGCTAATACAACGTTTCTCTATGACGAAAATTTGCGGAATGTTGCGATTCTCTCTAAAATTTGTTCACGTGTTCGACAGTTAAGCGTCACTATGTTTATGATGTGTTGACCGGTAGAAGAGTCGATTCTCCACGGAAATGTGTCCGGTAATTTAAAAACACATTTGTATTTTACAGAAATATTTGCGATATGTATAACGTGTTTCGAAATCAGTCCACATGTTTTACGTATCCACGAATCGTGATACAATGTTATTCGTGTTTTTCAAATTGAAAACTACTTTAACATATTAATATGTGTATAACGTCCATTTAACACGTTTTCTGTCTTGATAGAATCAAATAAATAGTTTCAGAAACAGTTGTGAATACCGATGGATTTTTTCGAAAAGTATTCTTCAAAAAAAATTAGGCCTTCCTCGTTCGAATGCAGCATAGAAATTATAATCAATTTCGCAATTCGTCTTGCTTAACGGAGCGAAAATGTTTATTTCATTACTTTAGCAAATTTTTTGAAAGAATTTCAAATTGAACTGCTGTTTCTCATAACTGGACATGGATGTTTATACAAACTAATTTCGATAGAAACTTGTAGCAAAGAAAGTTCGATAGATTTACTTCTTGTGCTGGGGGTTTTAATTAATATACAAGGTGCTTGACTTAAATAAAATATCTTACTTGTAATCGGAGAAGCTATTGTACAAAATACAAAAAAACGTTTCTAAGAAGATTTTCTAAAAAATATTTATATTTTTCCAGGTTTTTGCAATGACAAGAAGAATAAATCCTTTTAAAATTATTATAAATGTCATTTCAATAACGTTATAATCAATATGGTCAATAATAATACTTATTTTCTGTAATGTAACATTGTAGTCCAAGATATGTTCAGCAATACGTGAGAGTCTGACTTTAAAATGATCTGAAATAAAGAAAAATCGTTCAAATCGAAATTCAGAAGTTCAACTTAAGTAGTACACCTTGTATATAGTTCGACCAATGCGAATAGACCCTCGCCGTCTTGATTGACACCAGTAATTCACTAAATACAGAAATCTTTGACTACTTTCAGCTCTGGTATTGTACACGTGTATTCTAATAGTAGTATCTGTATATATACTTTTTATTGCATCCGCGATAAAATTATATTATTTGGTTATTTGTTATTGGAGGGTTGTTGGAATTCAGATTGTCTAGCGAGAGCACGCACAGTATTGACTAGAAGTTTAATTGCAACGGAACGTTCTTCTTTTATCCTTTTTCTTTCATTGATTATTGATTTTATAGTAACGAAGAATGCCGTGAAACTACACTGTATCCATATTGGCTTGGATTTCAAGGAAAAACTAAATACTTCAATAATTTCGATACACAATTTCGTTATTAACAACGAGAAAAATGTTCATTTCTTCGTTTGTAATTCGACACAGGATACATAATAAGATTTCTAACTTTTCTAGATACAGACGACAATTCGACGAACTTAATAATCTTATAAGTAAGAAGCTCTGTAAACTGTAAATATGTCACATGTCTATGATACATATTATCCACTGACTTTTTCTAAGTGTACAAAGTTCCTCTAAAATTCGTCACGTGTGTCCGGAACTATTACGAGGATAAATCTTCGTGTTTTGTATACTTTATACAAAAAAATGTTTATAAAATAGAGTATCTTGCGCAAATTATATTGGAGAAACTATTGGCGTACGTATCCTGTGTAATCATACCGGTGAATTGTCTTCGTAACAATAAACGTTCAGTTTCGTTAACCCCTTGCCTTACAATACGAAATTCAACGAGTACGAACGTTATTCGTTTCGGATCAACCGAAGAAAAAATTCTGTTACATTTTCGTTGAAGAATATTTGACATTTACAGTAAATTCCCTCTACCTTCAACGAATCCACGATTTTCTCTCGTATCCGTAAATTATTCACTTGTCGCATTGTTGCTATAAATTAACGATTGCGAGCTTAATCGAGAAGAAAAGTCGTAAAGTAAGGGGTTAAATACTTCAACTAAATCTTGTAAATACATCTTACTTGAGAAAACGGAAAAGTACATTAACGGACGCAGATGAAATTGTTACACGAAGAGTAAGTAAGGATATTCGGTGATCCCGTAAAAAAAGTTGTTTCTTTAATACTTCTTTTATTTTTGAAAATGAATCTATACTCTCCTTCGTTATCTATAGATATAAAAATATTATCTATATAGATATAGATAGGAGAACATGTTTTCAATTTTTAAAAAAATTCCCTTTATCTGTATTTTGAAAAATAAAGGAAGCATTAAAAAACTGGATTACTTATGGGTCGATACAACAAGTACGCGAATAGAAATGTGGTGACAGTGTGTGTATGAATGTGGAATACCGTTCGTAGCGGATCAAAAATCGATTCACGGCACGACTCTCATACTTTTTTTTCTACGGAGGGCGAGTTGCATACGTTGAGCGGGTTTCGCGTTCCTTTTGTCGAAAACCGAGGAAATGCTAAAGGAAAAGTTGTATTCCATCACATGTTCCACCTTCCGGGGACTTTATTTTGTTCTGGAACATGAAAATACAGCTTCTTCAACCAGACGAACGTTCCCTCCTCCTTTCTACTCTGACCACGTTCAGCGATATTAAAAGAATAAATAGACCAAAGGTTATTTTTTTATCAATATACTTTATGTACACAGGAACGTACAATAAAAAAACACATTTTACAGAAACAACCAAATAAACTGACATTAAACAAAATTGATTTTCATTCATAGCATCAATAAATAAATAGTGAAGCGAAGTTGTGACCTTTGTTTTAACCCCTTCACCTAATAACATCGTGTCAGGCTCATAATGAAAATTTTACTCCAAATTCGACGAATCTAAATGTTGCTCATTTATAATGTAAATTAAACATTACTTGTCTATTATCGATTAAACACAGAAGAAGAATGAAATTCTTTCCTTTTTCCAATAAATTATTAACGACAGAGTTGTTTTATCAAGCGCAATTGCGAAAGAAATCGTAGAACAAGGAAATAATCTCTATTTTATAATTCTCCGAAACCTTTAATGTGTTAGGATTCATAAACCGTCGCAGTAATCAATGGTTCTTACAACGAATTACCTTCTGGTCAATCGATTCCAATCATTTTAACGTGAATAGAGCGATATTCGATGCTTCGTGAAGTGTTCAAAGACAAAACGACTACGATCCGCTCGAATTATGCGACTCCTCCTGTAGGTACGTACGTTGTTTTGAGGTAGAAAGAACGGGATCCATTAAGGGGCGTCTTAACAGTTAAAAAAAGAACGTCGAGCGCTTAGAGGAATCTCGCAATGAGTTTTAATTGCTGCTCGATTCCTCGTCGATTGAGAGGTGAACGCGGGATATTTACGACTCGTTCTTAACGCTTTATAGCTCATTATCGTCTCCCTTATTTTCCGTGGCCATTAATGACTCTGCTTCATTGGTAGGCGTTAATGAAGAACGGTAGAACGAAAATTTTTCGGCACATGGGAAGAAGTACAGAGCACAGACACTTACCTTTTCCGCGATCGATCATCTAATTATCACCTACGTATCATGCGTGTTTAATCGTTAATCGTTCAACATTACGTCTACTTCTCTCTAACATTATTACGATTACTTTCTATGAATAGCATTGTTCATTGATTATGCTACACAGACGTACTATATATCTATTCACTAAGTGCTACGGCCCGCGGGCAAATTTTAATATGCAGCGTTACGGGGGCCGACCGATCGGATCGTTCGAAAGCGAACGTGACGCCAACGGAAAACTTTCTTTACAAGTGAATTTGAAAAGTTGAGCTGACATTAACCTCGCACCTTATAATGAGACATCGAGTGAAACGTTGGATATTAATTATTTCGCGCCGATAAGACTATTAATTTCGATTCGGAATTTCTTTTCTATATTGAATACATAGTTACCTTTTTACGCGGTGGAATTATTAACGAATCGGAAAGAAAAATAAGGCAAGGAGTTAATATTCAGGCTAAGCCTTGGACCATTCGTTTCGAATTACGTTTTCTTCTGTGTACTGCTAAAAAGTTCATAATTACATAGACAGCAAAGTAATAATTATGAAAAATCATTAGTAAATAAAATATTTCTGCCTTAAAATTAACAACCGGGTGAAAATTAATAAATGCTATAAATTCCTTTTCATAAAATTTTTTTGTAATCGCAGCTCGTTGAACTTTTGAAAGTGAAATTGTCTCGCACGTTTATCGCGGCGCTATTGAATGTACGAGTTTAGGCTCACGAAAGTGTCTCGATGCATGCGATTCTCAAGTTTTCCTTAAAAGAAACCTTTTTCGCGCTGAAATGATCTAAGACTTCAACGAAGAAACATTACAGGTCACTATCGTAGATATGTTATTTTTGGAACTTGTGTTACGTGTCTATGAAGAACACGACGTTCAGACGAGCACATAATCACCTTCAAATTTATTTTTCTTTTAAAGCTATTCTTACTTGTCGCTTTGCCTAACGCTAACACCTAAATATTCGTCAAAACTGTCTTTTTCGTTACTTCGATTAACAGTTCGTACTTAATTGTCTTTTAAACGTTTTACGTGCGAAAACTGCCGTCAGCGTGAGCGGGATTGTTAATTGTAGCGTAAATTACATATTGCGGCACAGGTTTGTACATGAAACGGGAAGAGTAATCGTTAATTGGGCTCAAGATTCGCGAGGACCTTACAAATAGTATGGATAGCGAAATAAACTATATAGGATGACTATCGCCATTGGCAGTGAAGTTTGAAAAGTATGCGCAGCGCCAACATTACAATTAAAGAATTCTGCCTAAGCTTTCTTCTCTTTTCCTCGAAACTAAATAGTCGGATTACCGTTTTAAAAGCAGAAATCACTGGCTACGGCCGCTTTAACACTAGATCTACCAAACGGGTTCGATTGTCCCATTTCAGAATTCCCATTTTGCAAAAATTCAAAGTATGAAGACGCTTTTACGAGAGATTGTAAAATAAATTTGTGTATTTATAGTGATACAAGAGTAAGATAAAATGTATTGTTCTAATTTTGACGATTAGAAATCAGTCGCTCTAATTGCTCGGTAGTTCTAGTGTTGATCAATTGTATCGAACGAAACGAATTCCGAGTTGCACACTTAACAATTCGCATTTGCAACACGAAGCTGATAAATTCGCGGGCACATTAATCGCAAATAATTCGCATAAAAGGTATAAATGCGTAATTTTGCTCTTGGTTCTTCGTACAAATGTTAGAAAATTAGCGAAGAATAGTAAACTTTAATATATACGATTAAAATAATCGAAAATATTCGTAGAAAATGTTATAAAACGCAAAAATTTACATACAACGTACGTTATTCTTCATTCTATAGTGACATAATTCCATATAATACGCGTAAGTTCGCGCAGATCTTCCTAAAGCATTGAACAATATACCTACACCTCGAAAATATGACAGTCTGAAAAATGATTTTGAAAAAAGCTTCGTTCATCGATCAATGATTGCATGAAACAGCTCGATTATCAGTATCAAAGCTGTACGCTTTCATTAAAAACAGTGTCGGAACCACTATTTCGCACCAGCGTCGTCAAAAATAGATTTTTAAAAAGCATGCTCAGTCAGAATGGTATTATTTTATCTTATAAAATCGTTTAAAACGTACGAAAATGCAGCGTCCGATACTTTCTTCCGAAAGAAATGTTAATAAGTGATTCGTATGTACACGCAAGCAAAGTGACTAAAAATTTGGTAAACCTGTAGTCCGGCGACAACGATGATGCAACTGTGAATAAAACGACTCCATGTGCAGCTGCAAACAGAAAATATAGAATCGATTGTTTTACAAGTCGTCGTAAAAGTTATCGTTTTCAATTGAATCGTAACTTGATTGAAATTAAGTAAATAAACTTGATTGGTATTGATATCATTATTTCAACAACGACGAAACGAACAAATCTTCATAATTTATTCAAATCTAAAACGTTTCATTGAACAGTCCCAATTTATTGTTTGCATCAGAAATTCTTCCGTTCACTATTGCACCATCAATATCGCCGCATTCTGTATACGTTATAAACAACTAAATCGTCTGTGTCTCTTTTACATGTTATGGTAATTGACTTATACAGAATGCAACGCTAACTCTTTCAGGAGCATCTTTTTTCAACGCAGTATCGACGATTAATACGATTTCTCAAGAATTTTCATTACAGTTAGGATATACTTGGTGTACGGTCTGTCTAGTTCGAGAAAGCCCGGCGAAATCGTTTCCTGTACAACGTAATCATAAAAATTCTGAAAAATGCCAGATAACTTGATTTATCCTGTACGATGCGTCACAGGTGAATTTTTTACAATTAACCTAAGTACGTATGGAAACGACGTTTTTAACGCATCAACGTTCACACATTTCAAATTGAAACATTTCGAGCTAAATTAAGAATAAATTTTACAATTTACATGAGGCGATTATTAAAATTCATTATTAGTGTTTATCAAGGGAAACGGAACTGTCATTTGAACTGTGAAACGAAACTCTAACTGCCTTCATAATAGAGGTTTACAAAATAATAATAAACCAATAGACAGACGTTGTTCTTACTAGACAGACCGTACACGAACAAAGAATTGCTTAAGGAACGAAGCCATCCTAAAAGAGCTAACGGAGAATCTTCAACTTCAACAACCTTCCGCTTTCTTGGTTTATTTGCAATGTCGAAGGAGGCAGCTAAGGAAACGAAGTTTCAATCCTGGGCGAGGATTTATTGTTCACGCAAGATTAAAATGAAAAATATGGAGGATCGTGTGTTTTATTTATGGAATATGATCGGAAATAATGATACATATTGTTGTATATACAATACGTCCGTTTCGATTGTGCGAGTACACGCAATTACAGAGCTACTTTCTTCACCCTCCATATTTTCTGATTTCGACACCTAACCAAGACCCGAGAATCGTTCAAACAAAACAATTATTAAATCCCTTCGAGAAGCCAGGAGACATTCTTATTACCTATTTCGTTCGCGAAGTACCATTGTCGACTGGTGATCCAAACGAATGATTCGCAACGACAGTGCCAAACGTAACAGAATCGTAGAGAAAAAAAGGCCTGCGTACGAGTAGGCCACTCCAAGGCGATGCGTGCACTGACAACGGAGTCCTTAATTATTCGGTACTTCTTCGAGGCGATCCACAACTACACATCTGGTTCGTTGCTCGTAAAAAGTATTCCCCTTTTCATGCTCGTAAGCGAAAGAAAAGCAATTAACATCATGAAAATCTCCTGTGAGAATCGAGTAATACGATTTGGTACTTAAACTGATTCAAAAAGCTTTAAACGCCCGTAAAGTTCACAAGAGAACACACCGAGCTCGTACTCGCTAATTTTCATCAAATTTCTAAATTGATTGAGTTATTCGAAAAATATTCGTCAGCTTCTATTTGATGTATAATTAAATTTTCGATTTGAAGCTATACGATTGAACGGTTGATTTTCTCCACTTTGAAATTCTCGAGATATCTCGAAAAATATATTTTCAACTGAGTGTTAATGTTTGAATAATACATTCTGGTGTAGTAAATATTAAGTGTTTTAAATATTTTTGTACCTCCATCGCAAATGAAAAGGACTAAATCGCCGAGTCATTTCCCCGAGAACTATCTAAATTCCATAAAAATTGGCGTTTGCGTGTCCGATACGTTCCCTCGCGAGACACTCAAATATTTATCGACGTCTCGTTACATTTCCAGTCTCGCTGTCCGCGTTGACTGGAACGAGTGTTTCAGACAATTTTTCGAAATTTTCATAACCTCCTCCAGTCACGTGAAACCCTCTACGGCGAGACGTTCACGGTACGCAAGCGCGTGTCACCTAAAGCTAATCACATATGTATATACGTACGCGTTTCCGTGCGGTGCGTGCGTCCCGGCACAGAAACCGCTAAATATTCATACATATACATTATATACATCCGTGAATGCGATCTAAAACCTATATCAATGCGTCCTATTCCTATATACACGAAGCGCACGATACCCAGACCTTCGTCGCGGTGGTCGCGGCTCTTCGCTACGGCTTATTGTCCAGTTTCATCGACAATGGCGTCGCGAATACAATTCGATATTTCAGTTACGGAAGGCCCTCTCGCGACCCGGACGCTTCCTCCCGTTTACGTCATGTGCAAGTCACCCTTTAAGATTCTCGTGAAGGTCTTTTTGAACTGCTGATTGGCCAGAGCATAGCAGAACGGGTTCATAGGGCTATTAGCATAGCACAGAAAGTACGAGAACATGAACAAGTGTCCATTAGTGCAGGGTGGCTCCGAGCAGAACCCTTCGACCAACGCGACGATATGGTAAGGCGTCCAACAAACGACGAACGCGCCCAAGATGAACGAGATCGTTCTGAAAGCCTTCCTTGCCCTGTTCTCCGTTCGGGACTTCTGTCTGCCGATCAGTGGGTCCCTCCTCTGCGTCTTGCTCTTCAGCCGTTTGCCGAAAGTCTTCACGAAGTCCCTTCTAGACCCGCTGTCCCTGCTAGGTCTGCCCTCCTTTCTCTTCGACTGCTTCCTTGACTCTTGCTCGTTCCCGGTGGTCCCGGAGATCGTGGGCACCATGCTGCCGCTGGAGGACGAGTTCTGCGGCTGGCCGATTTTGGCTGCCTGCTCGGTGAACTGGTTCATCACGATGTTGAAGGACTCGACCGCCGACGTATTGACGACGGTGGTCACCGGCTGCTGTTTCGAGTCCTCCGCCTTCACGGTGACCTCCGTCTGGACTTTGCTCACCGTGGGCGACGTCTGCGACGCGACGTTCGTCTTCTGCGTGATGAACACGCGCGGTGGGTGTGTCTGGCTGGACGCGTTTGACATCGCCGGCAACGGTTGCCCCTGCTTACTCTGCGTACCCACAGAATGCTGGCTGTTCGCTGTGGCTCTGATCAGAGCAGCCTGCAACAGAGTAGTGCTCGGCACTGTCGCGACGTTCCCCAAGATCGGAGACGACGGAGTAGTGGACAAAGGATTCGCCAGACTGCACGAAAAGGAAGACGGCGGGCTCTCGTAGGATGGACTCGGCAGGATCACCGAGCTCTCGTCCATGTATCTCAGATCAGCGCTGTCCAAGCCGGTTAAGATATCGTACGTCCCCGGACCCTGAGAAGTCACGACCAACGATTTTGGCCTGTCCGTGGAGGACGAAGTCAGCGGGCTCTCGGACACGGGCGGGCTGCTTTGGAACTGCGAGGGCGGGGGGATGATGTTCTGTTGGCTGCTGCTGATGGAGCGATTAGGATGCGTGGGCGGCGAAGTTTCTGTAGATGCGACGGGCTGTTTGCCCGGGCCGTCCCCATTGGAGTCCAAAGACTGTTCCGGCGTCAGCGTCTGGCTGCTGGACTTGTCGGGTTCCGCGGGATTGTCAGTGTCCAGGAGGCTGGTTTCATGGATCTTCGGCAGTGTTTGAGCCTTCTGAGAGCCAGTTGCGTCACCCGCGGAGCTTGTAGGTAGAAGCTTCTTCGGTGCCGACAGGTTCAGGTCCGCTTTCGCTGGAACGATTCCGTTCAGTCGGCCGTTGGTGACTAGGACTTGAAGAGCGCCGGATTGAGCGACCAGATCAGCTACAGATGATCTCTTCCTAATGTGGCCATGATGCTGAGCCTGGACGAAAGTGCTTTCCTCGTCGGAGTCGAACACCGGACTGCTGGACGGCTCAGACTTCTCCGTCTCCGTCGGCCCAGCGCTGACACTCGTCTGCTTGCCCGCGGAGTCAGTCACGCCGGTCCCCGAAGTTTTCGACGATGTCTTTTGACCAGAACCGTCACCTTCTCCGGGATCATCCGTAGATGTCCCCACTTTCTGCTTGTCCTGGCTCAAAAGGGTACTCTGAGTCTTGGACATGCCTATGCCGGCCGCCATGCCGGACATCGCGCCGGCGCTCAACGCCACCATCGACTGCATCTTCCGCTGTTTCGCCTCGCTCTTCTTCTGCATGTCGTATGCGGTCTTAAATATGCAGCCGTACAGAATGAACAGAACCACCAGCGTGACCCAGTAGTAGCATATGATCAGGACGGTGTTGAATACCGGGTCCTTGAGGAATTGCACGGCGCACTGGCCGGGGCTCAGGTCCCTGCGGCCGGTGAAGTGCTCCCAGCCGAATATGCTGATGAAGAAAAGGAGCGCAGGGATGATCCAGATGATTGAGACCATCCAGATTACCCGGTTCTTCGTGCGCCAGCTGTGGTACTGCGCCGCTATCCTCACCGAACAGCACCGGTCAATCGTGATCAACAGCACCGTGTACTGGGACACCAGGCACACCGTATAGTCCACGGACAGCCATAGGTCGCAGAGCAACGGGCCGAGGTTCCAGTAGCCCATCAACACGTACACCGTGTAGAACGGCATCGAGACGGTTCCTGTTCAACAATAATTCTGTTACAGTACATTCACACTAACCGAACGAATACTCGTTCAGCCTCCACTTAAGAAAGATTGAAATCTGATAGGAACATTCCTCCATTTTTAACGAACCAAGCACCGAAAGCTCGACGAATGATCGATTTTAGAAACGTATGTTGAAGGGAGATAGAGTAATTCGTTTATGCTCTTCTTGGCACTAGAATCACCAAGAGGATCAAAATTACTGTTAATTCGAATTTTTCTTTTATATTTAGTTGATAAAAAGAATATATATATATATATATATATATATATATATATATATATATATATTTACTACATTGATTTAGTAATAATACTTACATTCTTATGATTAATAATTGATGATGATCAAAAATTGATCAATCGATTCAATTGGTTGATAATTCTAGTGCATAAACAAACGAGTAGGAGTTTGATAGATTGGGAGTTGAATGAGCATTGGTTCGGTTGCTAAAAATGCGCTGTATTGAAACATAAATTTTGGGTACTTGCAAAATATTTGTAAAATAAAAGGATTGTTTCAAGATTCAAGATAATACAGTTTCTGTTAACTATTCTATCAATACTTCGAATAACAATAACAAACGTTTCCTTGTTATAGTTTCATTTCATATTTTTACATGCTTATGAAGTGATAAAAACTGAAAGTTTAGAGAAACTTACCGATAAGCACATCAGTGGCCGCTAATGACGCGATGAAGTAGTTACTGGGTTGCCTGATAGCCCTATCTACGATAAACGCCAGAAGAACGAGAATGTTACCGCCGACAGTTAACAGTATACATAATGCGAGGCAGACAGCAATCAGTATCGTTTGCCAGAGTTCGAAGGGTGGTTCAGTAGGTATGAAAGTTTCCGCTGTTGAATATACAGATATCATGTCAGAATATTATCACAAAGCATTGCCTTATTTCTATCATTTCTTTCGCACCCCCGGAAATAAGAATATGATTCTTTTCACCGTAATACAGTAGAAAAAATTATCAAACACCCGCGTAAATATGGCTCCTAAGTATGCTGAAAGGTTGCACTTTCGTTGATAGAATCAATTCCAATTTATTTCAAAAACAAATTACAAAGTAAAATGTCAATTAACAAATTAGAACTACCAGTAATGCCAAATGAAGAATCCGTTTTAATTGATCGTCGAAAGAATGATTTCTTGAAAATTATAACGTTTATTAATTTAACAAAATTGAATTTCTAAACTCGGAAACGGCGTGATTCAAAATAAAATGTGTAAGAAGTCATTCACTTTGATACGCGCAGCATTTTGATGCTCGATGACTCTATTTAAGGAAAAATTCAATACAATTACCGGTCGATAAAGCTGTTGCAGTGCTAGCTATCGAGCAACAGTTGGTGTTATTTGTCGGAAATAGGTCTGACAGAACTTCAACATCATCCGGGTCAGACCATGTTCCATTAAACTGGGTGCATTCCGCTAAAACCTGGTTGGACATGCGGCAAAGACGCTCCCGTTGCCTTTCTCGTTTCCTGAAACGAAAATTTATTCCGGTTTTCATTTGCGCATCGCTAATCCGATAATCCATGTTCCAGAAAATATATATATATATATGTACAAAATATACACGATCGGGCGTTTAAGAAAGTATGAACGAACAATATGCAATGATATGTTTAATTAAGGGCCTGAAAAGAACAGAAATTTATGTTATACATTAAATTAACCCCTTGTTTTATATCAATGTGTGAGACCCGTAATGAAAATTTTAAATTAACTTCGACAAATCTAAATGTAATTTACTTCCCTTTTATACAAATTAATATTACTTTTCTGTTATCAATCTTTAATCTTTAAAGTTAATATAGACATAAAATAAGTGTCAAATTCTTTTCTTATTCAAAATTACTAACGATAAAGTAGTTGAATCAAGCACAGTCGTGAAAGAAGTCATAGAGGCAAGAGGTGAAACATGCGAGAAAATACAAATTAACAATATAAGTACAACGTTACATCTAAGCGTTGGAAAAAATACCAGTTTCCAATGTGGATCGACAAAACGAAATATTTGAGAGAAGAAGGATGAATAACGTGCAGTGATGAACGTCGAGCGTACGAGAAAACATGAATTTATAATGCACTTAATAAAATGTGAACGATGATCGTGAAGCACGAATGAACGTGTTTAGATTCATTAGGAAGGTGCGTGATACATGAGTACTGTGAATACCATGAATAATACACCTGTCACGCTGCAGGACACCGGTGAGTGACTTTGCGCGGCATATCGATTTCCTATGAATCGCAACGGAATATTGCTCAACATTCTTTCGTAATTCACGTGGAAGGTGAAGAAACAGAAAAACAGGCCATAAAATCGTGGTTGAAAAAGGGGGAGCGCCGAGACAGTATTAAAACCTCCCTTTAAAGAAGGTCATCGGTGATCGATACACCGTCGACAGGGAAATCGTGCGATTTATAAAAGCCGCTGGAACTCATTTACACGGTGAACGAAAAGTTTTCCGACCACTTAACAATTTCCACCGATTCGTAAATTCGAGAAAATTAAACGGCCAACTTCCACGCCGTTTAACATTTCGATCTAGCTCGACGTATCGGCATCAACACGTGAATCTAAAAGAATTATTCGATAATACCTTTCAACGATAATAACCTTTAATTCGCGGGCGTGGGAAATTATCGTCGAAAGTGGACCGTTAAATTTTCGCAATCACGAATAATGGAATTCACGGATAATACTTTTGTTTGTTACGCGAATTAAACGGTATCCTCGAGAAAAGGATTTTCAGCGGTAAAACGATACATTGTACAATAATCTCTCGAATTACATGATCATAATGACACGGCTTAATGAACACGGTGTAATGTTTCGAGCGGTTGAGGAGAAAGAAATGTTGAGGAAAAATGGAAACAAGAAAAGATAAGGCAGCTGCCTTCTTCAGTAATGTTCGTTAGCGTCAAAGAAAATGTGACACTAGTATTTCCTGATTTTAGCTAGTGACACGTATGCCTCTTGCTCTCTATGAAACATTGCTGCAGTGGCAACACGAGAAGCAAGTCAAAGGCTGAATGCACCCGACGCACAATGAGCTTGAAATAAGCATGAATGGAACCACATCCATTTCCCGCTTGCGCGCTCCCGTCGCCGGCAGGGAAGAAACGACGGCCTGCACCTTAAAGAGGGTGGCTCGTTTTTAAATAATTTAGCCAGTCGATCGTGACTCCTGCAGGTTAAACACACCCTCGTGGTACACGTTGTCTAGCCTCCTGTATGTGAAATATTCAGTTACTAGGCTGCAAACGTTTATGGAAATTCAAATTTTTAAGAATGTCATTGGAAAAACGGAATTACGACGAAAAATTATTTTTTCCAACTAATATAATAATACGGTTAAACGCATCTTGATGGCACACTTGTCCAGCTTATTACATGCGAAATATGTCATTGTTAGATTGCGGTTTTTTTTGTAAATTCAAATTTTAAAAAAATAATTCTAAAAACAGAATTACAATAGAAAATTTTTTCCAACAACTATGATCGACAGAATACTACCCTTGGAATGTTTTATGTTTCTTCGTATCGTGCATACCTTCTGTAATTCTGTAATTTCAAATCTCAAAATTTCGTCAATTCGTAACAGTTTGTTTTATAGAAGCTTAAAAAATAACGTTTTAAATATTTCCTTTACTTTTAAATTATTCATTACATATGAATAATTTGGTTCGTGAAGTTCGTACTAGTTTAAAGGTTTTGTCCAAATATCCATGGCGTAATAATTAATAGAAATATTTCTGCAAGGAAGATGAATCTTGAAAGATAAATATTTGCATATCGCATATTATCTTCTGGGATTCAGGACTTTAATATACGAATCTGACATTTCGATTCATAATACAAGCAGAACAAGTTTTAGGCATATTAAGGGGAACGCATTCGGCTAGAGCTAAGATGGCTCCTTTAACTCACCGTATCACTGACTGAACTTCGTAACAGCGTGAATCAGTTTAGAAACTTCGGACGGCTTAGTTCGGTTACTTTACTTTGGGAAAGCATGCCACATTTTTGCCAATTAATCGATTCACGAGCAGCATATGGCATTAACAGTATGTTTTGTATAATTCTGAAAATCTTACCACATTAATTTAGTTTCACCGTTGTTAGTATTATAAATTACTATACATAATTATTATGCAGCATGATAATGTTATAATTACAATTACCATATCATACCTATAACACATTGAACATATTAAACGCTTAATACATTACAGTATTTTGAATATTTTTATCACTCTAAGAATTTATTTTCATTTGTAGTGATACTATAAGTTATTGTATAACCTCATACATTTGTAACTATAACTGTCTAAATCGAATTTACGATACATCCCTCGGATAAAAAGTTCAGGGTGAGCCTTCTCTGAAAGGATCCTCCTTCTACCTTCCATATCGATAGGAACAGGTAACGCTATGTTTTGATTTCGACGTCAAACATTAGCAATTCAATTCAATGAGGATCGTTCTAAGATTATTAGAACAGCCCGCTACAAGCACAGACAATGAAGCCACGCGAATAAAAGATAGAGAGATGAGATCCATTGTTTCAATGGTCTCGAGGGTAAATACTTGTCCTCGTTATAGCGGGCTTTCTCTTGGAGCTGCGTCATCGTGAAATGATTCGTAAATACCTGACCTCGTTATGGCGACAATACTTTTTTACGGCTCCACCTTGTAAGTGAAATGATTCGTAAATGGAGTGCCGACCGCCTGTAATTAGATGCAACGTACCCGGAAATAATCCTTTCAAACACACAATTCAAAGTAATATATATTCTTGCAAGAATATATCTGTAAATATTCTTTAAAAAATCTTCGTCAGGTAACAATTTAACTTTTGTATATCAGTTGAATTTAATTTATATTTAGGAATTCTATAACTCCAATATTTTATTCAGAAAATTTATTGAATTTAGTAAGACGTTACTACCAAGACAATGGCCAGAGAAAAAAATGTAGGTAGTGAACATGTTTTAATGCTTTACATACCGAAAATCTATCAATCAGTTCTTCGATTGCGAATGTTTAACAACTGATTAACAACTACTGGAATTATACTGCTTTAAAATAAAAGAAATTAGAACTACAAAATAAGATTCCCTCATACTCTAATTTGAATCCTTTAACGTCGTTTGACGAATATGTTTTTTCAATAACAAATAAATTCAATGCGCAAATAAAAAATTTTCAAATGAAATTCTTCTCAAATGTTGGTCATTTTCTCAGTGGCTGCTTGATTTGATATAGTAAAATTACAAAATCTTATATATAATATCAACCTTTGATAATGCATCAATACGTGAAACATTGAAATAAAATAATTTCTTGTATGTACCTATATGTTCTCATTAGAAAGTGTTAAAGAATGTCGGTTATATCTCATCGAAAAATGATGAATATTTCTAGTGAAAAACTTCCGAGTGCAAAGGGTTAAGGGTGGACGCATTGATAATAGGATGCGCTTATCGATGGGAAACAAAGAGCGCGTGAAAACTGTCGGGAGAGAAGCGGAAGCCGAAGCAGTTAAGGAGGCCTAGCGTTTCGGACAGGGAGAGAGGGTGTTCGATGAATCGGCCGCAACCTGCGCATCGAAACAAGGGTGAAGTACCAGTTTTGTCTAATGAGTTGTGATGCCTCCCTCGTCAAGGTCGTTCAACCGTGACTCGAGCGGCCGTGGACACCCCTTACGAGGGAGGACTCTCACTGGTTTCCAAGCCTCTGCATGGAAACATCCTTCAAACAACCCGAACGAAAAAATCTGTTCGACACGTTCGCCTCTTGCGGCTGTGCCGACTAAATATTAATCATTTCGACGACTTCAGACTTTCATATTTAAAATGCTATGTTGCAAACAAACGATTTAATTATTGAACAGCAAAAGATTGGTATACAGTTTCTTTTTCTCTATTATTTAAGCATTCGATATATCATTTGGCTTCATCTACCAAAGGTTTTGTGTACTGTGACACGTTGAATGCCACACGATTTCACGGAGCAAAATACACGAAATGATGTAATACTGAATTGTCAAATTAAATTGTGTTATTGTTATTGCACGTTTATCTTATTGAATGTCACTGCACTAGGTAATATTATATATAATATAGAAATGTTTTCAAATAGTCACTGCTGAATTGTGTGAATTATAGTGATTTGATTTGTTTGAGGGTCTCCGGAGACCCCATGGCATTCAACGTGTTAAAGAATATTCGTCCATAAGGGAATAACACGTTCGCGACCACGGTTGAATTTAAAATACCCTCGCTGTAGACCGTGTCTTCCTTGCAGTCGTTTCACGTGATACGTTATTCATATAATTTGCACACATTTACAACATAGTAGATCAACCAGACAAAGCATTTTACATAAATGTCATATAGGTATGATATTTTAATATAATCTAAGCGACAATAGGGTAAACAATAACCTAATATATATAGACGCACATACCTA